ACATCATCAGAGCTGGGTGTCATTCTTGTAAAAGTCTCCCGTTATAACAAGGGCAAAAAGAATATTCGGCTCTATCTTACCTCTTTTATAGACTCAATTAAGCGAAATAAAATTAAAAAACATGTATAGAAATACAATAGTTTGGCTAATTATCTTTCATACTGTTCCTGCTACTTTTGCTCGATTGTGTGTTAGTGTCTATACGCAATATTGTTGAAAAAGTATAACTTTCTCTGATGATGCTCGTATAACGGAAAAAAGATTAGCCCGTTTTCACCTGAAACGAAGGAGGAAGTCTCGTGGACTTTGTCAGCCTGAACTTCGTACTAAAGCTAAACGGCGGCATAACAAAGGGAGTCAGACGTCGTCTTCTGGAGAGATCGAACTACGACTTTCATCAGCATGCACTTGCATACGAAATTAAAGTCTCCACAACAGATGATAGGAGGCCAGAATACGAGTCATCTTGTTTTAGAATTGGATCATGAAATGGTTTCGATACTACCGTGAAAGAATAACACTCGAATCTACCCTTCTGCGGTATTGCAGAGTTAGAGGATACCAGAAGGCCTTGAATCGTTGCAGTACAGGACAAGCATATAGCCCAGATGCTTGTTAAAAGAATTGTAAAAAAAGGCAATGGACTGCTTGGGAGACGGTGTGGACATTAATCCCAACCCGAACGCCACTTCTTACAACCATAGCAGCGCGAACTTTTGGTAATCATAAGTCACATAAGTTAGTGAAGGATGTTAGTTGGGGTTTCCCACAATGCCTAGAGTAGGCCTCACGGTAGCATTGTATATCTCATAGCCTTGCCTCCCGAAAGGTATTCTCATCCTGGCTGGACTGGAACGCAGTTTCCACCTCGCCTGAGCCTCAATAGCGGATCTGGGTAGTGCAAATTTCATTTTTGACATGTTACCGTTACGCCACACTGCTACGAATGCCAGTTGGTCACATGACAGAAGTGAAGTTCGAAGCAAGCTAGACCTTCTCTGTATAATATCTTATAGTTGTCGACGCAAACTTATATTTCCACATTACAATCGACTATGTTACATATATTTATATTGAGAAGGTAAACAATAAACACTGCACTAATCGGGCTCAATTTCCGTTGAGATTGCTGACGAGACTCTGGCACTATCGAAACTACTAGAATACCTTTTTGGAAGCATCTGAAACCATTCCTTCATTACTTTATGTAACCTAAGGTTAATACAATTCTTGTCAATGAGGTTATTGGTTGGTCGAAGCTGGAGTAGAAGGAGACTAGGGTCATTATCATAGTTACCAGAAGTTTACATTAAAAAGTGGAGTTTGAGTTTGGCTAATGCCCACACGGATTCCCAGCCAGTCAAGACTGTAATTTAGCAAGCATTTGAGCTGTTCAGTCGCCCTGGGGTTCTCCCATCCTTGGAGTAGCGTGGTCATTCAGAATTCATCTAGACTCACGCAACTTTTACATTATTAAATTTCCAGCTTAGGGTGAGTATTCTTTATACATACGAAGAGTAACCAGGTTTCGATTAATTTCCCTGGATAACAATATTGAGGAGACTTTCATTTCATATGGAGTGCATAATGAAGAGATTTTAAGGTAGAACTCAGCAGAAAATGACGGGTGATTCCCATTGTACTGCAGCCGGTTGGCTTTGATACGAAGTTCAGGTTGGCGTAATCCACGAGACATCCTCCCTCACATTGGATGAAAACGGACTGAGTTCTTACTCGTCATATTACGAACATCATCCAAACTGGGACTCATTCATGCAAAAGTTTCAAGTTAACGCTAAGTCAAGAAGCCACCCGAAACAAGGGAGGATTTTTCGTGGACTGCGTCGACTTGAACGTCGTACTAAAGCCGAACAGGAGCAGCACAACGATAATCAGCAGTCCTCTTCCGGTGAGATCGACCATCGAATTTCTTCATGCAATTACATACGAGATACAAATCTCTCTAACAATGAGTAATCGCTAAATGGTATTTTAGACCATCATAGGTAATTTTGTTATTTTAAAAACTGGTATTACCGACCACAACATGACAAAGATTTAATGGCTAAATACAGTTCCTGCCCGTGAATTGAGTGATGCTGAGGAAGCTTATCTTCGTGTCTGCTCAGTGAGAATTCCATTTTGTCATTAAATTCATATCGCATGGCGGTTAATCAGTTAAAATGAGCTGTGATTATGACGCCATCTCCTGATTTCGGGCTCAGATTGGGCCACAACTACAAGGGTAAATTATCGGTGAACACAGCTATTATGAACGTGCCTTTTAGGAAGCAACATTTCCGGGACCATGTCTATGAGCAAACTTATCCATTAATAGCCATCTATCAATGGTCACAACCGTTGCGCTCGCTCTTCTATCCCTAATGCCAAGTCTATGAGTGTCTCTTGCGTGCCGACCCCCAAATGTGATAGTTTTACTAGATTTGAATAGGCCCACTTTAGACGTCTTCTCTTGGTTTCCGATAGTTCCTCTCTGGTTTCCTTGTAATTTCTTTTCCTAAGATTAAAAATATTGCCTGTTCCCTGATCTTCTCCGAGTTTGTTTAGGCAGTATGCAAAGATTTCGCTAATTCTGACTCCTTCGAATATCTTGTTCATTAGGTTTATTTCAGTCAGGATAATAATGGCTTCTCATATTTTATGTCTCTTGTATTTCCACCATATGCAGCTAGCCTTTCTGTCGATTTATAGTCGATTTCGTGTCCTGTTCGTGTGGTGTGTTCCTCTGATTCTGATTTTTCATGGTCCATGTTTCTGCAGAGTCTTTGGTGTTCCTTGATTCGTAGACCGATTTTATTTCCTGTTTCACCGATATACTTCTATTCACAATTGCCACATTTGATGCTATAGACTCCTGAGCAATCCAGTTTCACAATCTTCTCGTGTTGCGTCGGCAGGCTTGTAAAGAGTGTTGTCTTTTCTTTTGTTATCACCATGATATTCTCTTAGCAACGGTCGCAATTTATGGCCTAGTTCACAGGGAGGCAGGCATATCCTCTTTTTGTCGTCCTCCCGATTCCTGATCTTATTTTCCTAAAATCCTAGTTGAAATCTGCTATTTATGACACTTATATTTATTTCTATAAATTATCTGGGGTACCCGTTATTAAGGCAAATCCGAGTCCGTTCCTCCAACGCCTCGTTTCAGAACTCAGTGTCCATTAGTCTTAGGCTTCTGATGATCATACTCATTATTTCTATCTTTGGTCTGTAGTTGTGATGAGACTGGAAATTGAGAATCATTCCCGCATGTAATTTCTTTCTGAAGTGAATGACCTCAACATACAGGAGGGGTAGTCGTTTATCCTCCTCCACCTCCATTGTGAATTTAATTCTTCCATCAAGTTAGTTTATAAAATTGATGAACTCATCCACATTTTCCTTACCATGCGACCAAAGTGCAAAGTAATCGTCCAGGTATCGTATAAGCACTCTTGGTTACAGTGGTGGTTTCTCGAATTCCTTCTCCAATCTGTCATTGTATACATTTGCCAAAAGAGGTGAGCGTGTAGATCCCATCTGAGTCCAAATATTTGCTCATAGATATTGAAGTTGACTGTAAAATATATGGTCTTTACTGTCAGGTTGATTAGTCGTGTTAACGACTTTCCGTATCCTCTCTGCTTCCAGGGTACCCTCCTCTCGTTCTAAGACCTTCAGCAGAGTAGAGACTGTCTTCTCGCCTGAGATGTTTGCGTACATGTATCGTAAGTTAAAACTTACCAACATTTATGCCCCTGCCAGTCCAATCTTTTGCATCCTTTGAGAAAATTCATATGAATTCTCCACGGTGTTCAAGAGTCTGTCGTTTACTTCCCTGAATTTTAAGCATATAAATTTCACTAGCTTGTGTGTTACTCCATGCTTATTCTTAACTGTTAACCTTAGTGGTTTTCCTTCTTTGTGTATCTTCGGTAGTCCGTAGGCTATCGGTGGTATTGCGTCATTTGTTATTAAAGAATTCATAATTCGTCAGTCGATTTCTCCGTTATTATGCATTTTCTTAAATATTATGTTGATCTTCATTGTTGGATCCCTCCTTAGTATTTAATAAGTGTTCAGGTCGCCTAGGCTACTTTCCAATCCCTCCGTGTTCTGCTGTCTATCCATTATTATCGTCGCAACTCCATTATCCGCATGAAAAACTGTTTGGTCATTCATTTGTAATTTTTTCTACGTATCTTCAGCAATCTACTCCTTTTCATTGGCTCTTGATGCGACAGAATTATCGAGATTGGCTCCATTTCCATTACCCGTTCGGTCTCTTCTGGGCATTTCTCTGAGATGTTGTTGTCTTCTAAAATTTTCCCTTCGTGAGCCTATTCAAACAAAGTAGATATATCACATATCGGGGTCGGCATAAGAAAGTTATAGACTTGGTATTAGGGATAAAAGAGCGGGAGAAATGGTGGTGGCCATTTCTAGATGCCTATTATTAGATAATCGAAGGTATGAAGACCAAGATGGTGTGGCCTTTGGTGCTGTATAAAAGTTGTTTGACCTTGTTTTCGCAACTTGGTCACATTGGAAGGAAGACTTAGAGAAACGCACCTTGTCCGGAGTCCATTGTATGCAAAATCATTTCCAAAGTCCGGCCGTGGACTTGGTACATTCCCAAACGTTTCGCCGGCGTCGCAGTCGACATCGTCAGTGAGTCTCGCCATTCTTAGCACTACACAACAACTCGTCAAAGAGACAAGTGAAGCCGATCCTTTGACCAAACTTGTGTTAAACAGTTGTGGTATCTCGCCTTCTGCCCTGGGCTACTCACATTTCCTATATCCTCCTATCACACCTTAAATATTAAAATTTGCACCGTGCTTATTTCGATGTAGTGTGGTGTGCTCCTTTAAGCGGCATTCATGAAAACCCTGCACACTCCACGCTGTCGTTCTCACCCACTTCACCCTTGTGCTGGGAATGTTTAGCACACGTTTGCTCAAAGGATAGACTTACTTGTCTCTTTGACGAGTTGTTGTATGGTGCTAAGTGTGATGATACTCACTGACGATGCCGACTACGATGCCGACTACGACGCCGGCGAAACGTCTGTGAATGTATCACGTCCACGGTCCGACTTTGGAAATGATCATGCATACAATGGACTCCAGACTTGGTGCGTTTCTCTAGGTCGTCCTGCCAATATGACCAAGTTGCGTAAACAGAGTCAAACAATTTGGATGCAGACTCAAAAGCCTACTGATGATTTGAAAATAAAGCGTCAGCTTGATGAAATGGAATTTTGAGGTTTGAATTTCGCCCATTCGTTTGGCCAATCAAAACGATGCGAAAGTAATATCGACAAGACTACTGGTTCCTGTCAAAAATGTGCCTTCTGCGGCCGGCTTCAGCCTAGCTGGCCTGGGTCAGAAAAGCAAATAGTGCAAGTATCCTAGACGTGTGTGAAACGCTCACGCTCACGCTTACGCAAACACACATACGTCGCACACACGCTACACACACAGCACACACCCCATGGCACACTCACGCAACACAAACGCGCGCTCACATACAGACACGAGAACATGCGAGCCACGAAGAAGCTACACTTATTCGTGCACCGAGTAGAGTGGTCTGCGTATATGCATGCATGCCAATGCAGGCCCGATTTAAATACTTCCATGCAATCAACTGCAGTCCACCATGCATACGTCGGCAAAGGGTTTCTCTGTCTTGCAACCGGTTCGCGTTGTCCTGGTCAGACATTCTGAAGAAAATCGGATCAGATTCATGGATTGGCAGCAGGCCCAATTGACCAATCAAATTTGGGCATAGTATAGTGCTAAGGCTAACCAAATCAGGCAGACAAGTGGGCCAAAGACAAACGGGATGAAGTAATCAATCGGCCTGCATTAGACAAATAGGAAGGTTGCCTCATCTCTGCGACATACCAAGGCAGGCTGGCCTCCTGCCTATCATTCTGCTAAGTGTTGCCAGCGTCAACTTTTGTAGCTCGGTCCGTCATCGCCCGCCTCACTCCTCTTCAATGCATCTGCCACCTCTGGGACGTCCTAATTGACTTGCCTCTTGTGACTTGTTATCTCATGCTTTCTCTTTGAGTTCTTTTCTATCGCCCCGGCAACGCGTCCCGTGAAAGGCTCACTTGGACACCCTCCCCAGTGCAGACATGTCTCAGCATCCTTTTGGATTTAATAATCGCCAGTACAGCTTGGATAGTGTGTACAATGAACGGGCTGCTCCTCGAATGTCGCAGTTCTACTATGATGCACGCCACCATCATCCGGTTATCCCGGTCTCCGGGACTGGAGCTCCCCACTACGCTCAGGTGGGTTGTCAAGACACAGCATTTGCTAATTTCGCGGCCCGTGGACTAGTCAAGTCGACGGGCTGTTTATGGGCTGGCGGGGCGCCGGGATTGATTTGGTAGATCAGGGCAACCCTGCTTATTTCCCCCATAGATCTCATGAACATACACGTTCTGGAGCAAATTAAGCAGACTTGGACGGCTGAGTTGATGGTACATGCGCAGGAGGATTCTCGTAGTTGTTGGGCTTACTTCCAATTTTGAGTGAGTGTTGGGTGAAGAGATTCGAGGGTCGGTTCCACCAGAAGACGACGGCGGATTCCTCTTGACCAGCTGT